AATGCATGCCGCTTTTACAGGCACGATCAATTACGTTATAAATTACAATCGTGAAGTATTATAAATTAATACTTTTTCAATGATACAAAAGTACATTCCACAACTGTAATCCAGGATGCGTCGTGGGGAAGGTAATGTGTAATTCAATAGGCAGTTGTAGGGTATGGGACCCACAATGTTTGCAGATCATTTGTCATTGTGAGTGGTCAAATATCTGACTTCGTTATCCTCATTAAAAAGTCATATAGAAGCTAAAATGGTGAGAGAGAAAAGAAGACGAACGACAGCAGAACAGAAGAAATTAAGTGGAGTCCTCAAAGAGCGACTTATAAAATTATTTGTGTATATTCTGTGAGGGTAACTATGATTATTTTGGCACTCTAGCTAACTAAATAGTCCTGTCATGCTAACTTTTATAGTATGTGTAAACTAATATTAATGTTCTCTGTAGAAATGTTTATCATATCCATCCAATAATATAAAATTTATAATTGTAGTTTATTATAACTTATACTTTTAGTGAACCTATAATATCTATGAAGGGTGAAAAAGAGGGTATAGGAGTCAGACGCAGGAGTGATTAGTCATCTTTGAGCGGTCTGGTGACTGAGGAGATGGACACTGAGTGTTTTTGCATCACGCACATTAGCCGGTAGTCTATTCCAAATGACTGAAAACTTATTGCCATACTGGACCCTTCTGTTGTGAAGTTGGTTTCTGCGAGGCTGTATATGTGTATAACTCTGGGTATCGACTCACTGTGGATAAGACGTCTCAGCATTAATCTAACATTCTTCTTTAAAGTCTTGCATAAATTATCATTCTCAGACAGCAAGGAGATACAGTTCTCACTTGAAGGCTACTAGAACCTGCGTAACCAAACGTGCACAGTGTATAGGAAAAGCTGTAAAACAGCACTCCGTGCAAACTTCTTCATAGTCATGTATTCTAAGATCTGGAACAGTTTACTCCTAGAAATAAGGACCTGTCACTTTATTATAACTTTCAAACGCTTGCTATAGAAACTGTTTCATCCCAATGACTATGCGAATCAGACCGCACCACTTATTTCTAAAACGCATCAGCTATTAGAACACTATAACGCTTAGACTCATAAATATATATTATGACACTAAATAAACTCTAAGACTTCGCAGAAATACATGAAAAAACAACTACGGTATGGCTAATTTTTTTCTATAGATTGATATACAATTGAGATAAACATTTATATATGCACAAAACATTAATGTTCTTTTCACGTTCGCATACTTTCTCTTTTTGGTATTCTGCTGCCGTCTGGGTTTTTTGTTAATGCGAAGACAATATTTCTATATCTCTTTATGTGTTACACAGACAGACTATTTAGCAGAATGTTCCGACTGACTCTAATGTCAGAAAGAACAACCAAACTGTAAATTCACCATACATCGAAATATGTGTAATATATATAATGACTTATCCATGCCTGTTCAATTGGTATGTTCCTGCATAAACAGGAATAAATATATATTACTAAGGTCGAGCATTTTTCGATATGATTTCATTCGAATGATTTTTATGATTCGTGATCTTATTAAGTGAGGTTAGGACGCACCTAGGCTGACTGCAATCAGGTGTATAGAGACCCACATACCTCAGGTTCCTTCACTGTTAGCGTCAGTTGCAGGTGACGGTGGAACGATTATGCTGTGAACATCAAGGTTGGGTGGCACACAATTTTTCTAGATTATCGGAAAAATCAGTGGAGGGGGTGCACCTATCTATCTGTGGGTAAAGTACAGAACAGTATATTCTCTGTCTACGTTCCCCGAATATTTCACACTCATTTGCAGTTTGCCTGCTAGGAGGAAACTTGAGTAGTGACTACACTGCGAACAAACTGTTTCCTGAGTCGTTAAGGCCCTTCGTACAACCAATCAATCTTTTCTGAGATTGAAAACGCGTCAGTGACCTGTGCCCAGTTAGCTCTTCTAAAAACCATGTAATTTGGGGTATTCACTTCCCAACGTGGTGTCCAGCTATTCCGTCTCAAGAGAAAGTGTATCAAGCATTATTTTCCTCGAAGGACTGTTCTTTAATATTTTTGTCGACTTTTGACTCAACCAGGAATAATTTTACAGGTCTATGAAAACATGTCATTTCCTGGATCTTCAAAATAAAGAATGACTGTTTTCTACTTTAAAAAAAAGTTTCCTTAAGTCTATGAATGACGAAAATAAGTCATGCAAATTGATGCAGTGGGCCTGTAAGCACCGTTCTAAAACAGACTGCCCAGCTTCACAGCAGCCTTGGGACTTTCATTTGTTGAGATTCAGTAGTTTCGCGTTGCTGTGAAGTGACACTTTCAAGATCCTGACTGGTTATTTCAAAGAGTTATCCTTTTCCTATAGAGCGGTATCGCTTGGCATGTTGTTGTTTGTCGAGGACCAAAATGAACGTTTTAGCCCTTTCTATTTTAGCGAGGTGCTTTCCACCTGGGTTCACCTCTGCCTCATGGTCGTTTCTCCTGCCAGTATGAAGTGGTTCATGTGGTTCACCAGAAGCTCCTCTGAAAGATCTGCCCGAAATAACCTCCCGTCTACTTAAACCACCGTGCTGCATCGGTTCTTGAGCGCTTCATATGTCTCAGGGTTATTCCGCTTTCTGGATAGGAATTACTCATATAAGGCCTTTCGTTGAGCCTATAAAGTAGGATGCGTTCTTGACTATGGCTGTGAAGTTTGCTTCCTGCTGAATGAAATTGCTGGATTGAGAGAGCTTGATATCACTGGATGATAAATCCCCTTTGCCGGTTCAGTATCCTTCTACTGACAATGCATCCTAGTTTGTGCCCCATTCCACTTCTGATAAACGTTTTGCAGTTTAGTACAGTACGCCGTACTGTAACACAGACAAGAATCCGTAGCATCCAATCCATGCTTGTTGGAATAAATCTTCCTGTGCATCCTAACATGAGTAAACGTTCTTTTCATTAAGCGTTAAACTAAAGATAATTACCATAAAACAGTTAGTTAGGGAAATGGCAGTGAATTCATGCTGCCAGTAAAGAGAGGTGGAGCATCAGTTTCCCTCAAACAACAAACAAACCATACATATCCGTTTTCAACTGTAGAGAGAAGAGGATGTTGGAAAGGTTGTTCCTGGAGTCTGTACACAGATATTCAATACGGCCTCACATAGTTTAGAGTAAGGACTTTTGTGGTGGTAAACCCTAAGTGACTGTTTAAGCGGCCATGGATTCACAGTCACGCCAGAACAATGCCTTAACTTTTTCAAGTTATTCGAGGGGTCGACATCCACTATGCAGAGATGCGGAAGACAGCGACAACCTGCACACATACACTAGCACAAAACTGTTTCCACTGCCTACTTTCTTTTTCTGATGAAACTAATAATTCCTTTGCATTTTTCCTAACTCTGCCGCCTTTAAAAATCGAGCCAAGAGAAAAACGATTGTTGGTCTCTGAAAACAGTGCTGTCCGTATATTAGCAGTAGACAAAACCACACAAAATTCCGGTACACAGTAGTTACGCTTGTCAACAAAAAGACGAGGTGGTTCTCAGGAAAAGACACAGTTGCCCATCCTACCTTGATCTTGAATCATTCTTGAGACAACATCACAGACTATTTGCTCATATATACAATTTTAAATAAGGTGTTTTAGTCTTGCTTCACAGGCCCCCAAATTATGGAAACAACAAAAGCAGCTACCCTGTGGTGGGTGCTACTTATAATCAGATATGAGTAGTATATCATTAAATAAATTCAGAAAAGTGACAATATGTTTAAGACACCAGGAAGAGCGATCGAAGTAGAGAACTGTAAGAAGAACGTTTGAAGCAATGTGCAGAATCCAACAAGCTATCGAATATGGTGATGTTCAAGCAATTTGCAAGCGATGTGCAAATAAAGCATTGATGACAAGGTATACCAAATTTATTTAGCTACGATGAGGTTGTCCTAATAAACGTTCCTTCGAGCCTCATCGGTCTTTTATTCTTTAAAACCCTTCTGGATCACATTTAAACCTGAAGGCCAGCTGCCCTAGAGAAGGCCATTAAAGAATGAACACACAAATCTGGAATGAGGTCTCATTAAACAGAAGTGAGTCCTAACAAAAGTTTGACGACACGATATCGCCATCACCTACTGCTGAGACATATTATTATAATTATTATTGTATCCTTTAATTCCTACAGGAACATAGGGCTTCAGCCGTGCGTCTCCATTGCGTTCTGTTCTCTGCTAGAGTCTTCACCTGGCTCCATGTCTGCCCACACGTTTTCATCTCGTCTTCACATGCACTGACGACCAACTCGCCGCTTCCCCTTCAGGCTCCACTCGAGCAATGGCTTGTCTAGTGATGTCACTTGATGGTTTCATCAGTGGAAATTAATTCTCACTCCTTTTCCCAGTGGTCTTCACGAGATTACTAAGAAAAGTGTTACAAGAGGGACTTTCAGCCCTTCAAACCTTTTAAATTTTTTAGTTAGTCCACAAATCTCAACTACGAATACAGTGGGAATCTCATACCGCTTAGGCCTATAAACCCGACGAAAACTGAGGTCGTATGTTCCAAAATAAATCAGCACAAAACAGAGGGAAGAAAATCCCTATACCAAGTATTTGGAAAACTTTCACTTATGTGGACAACAAAAAATGACTTTGCAATTAATAGTGTTCTCTGAGCTGGTTGGTTTAGTTGCGAAGCTTTCGTCGTCCTTCTGGGCAACATCTTCAGCGCCATATTTACCACAAAGATGTTGTCCAGAAGGACGACGAAAGCTTCGCAACTAGACCAACCGGCTCAGAGAACATTAATAATTGCAAATCATCCACCTGAGCTACAAATCTCTATTATTTCAAATAGTGACTTTAATATTCAAAGCTGTTAAAACCTAGTGACTTCAGGTTTTGTAAAAGTTAGACTGTGTTTCTTAGAGTAGAGTTAGTTCAAAAAATGACCCAACTAGTTCGCGCAAACCATAATCAACAACACTGAATATTTTTTCAATTCATACTTGTTATACGACTTCGAAGCGATGAGCTCTCAGAAGCCGCATTTTCGAATGTCAGCGAAAGAGGGTGTTTCGAAAGTGAGTATGTTATTATCGCCTTTTTATGTTGAAAGATAACTAGCAAACCATGTAAATTGGTTTGAAAAACTTAATTTACATTTACACCTTTTGTGTAAATTATAAGTGTTTTTGCCTAATGATGGGTAGCTCCGAATGCAGTGTGCAGACATTAACGTAATGCAGTAAATATTACTGTATAACACTGTGGGACTTTATCAAAATAGATTTTATCCAAAATGGAATCGCACTGTACTACAGTGCATAAGTTCTATTCTCACATCAGTAAGAGAAAAGCAATTGCTAGCAACCTAAGCTCAGAAAATAAACCTTTTGATGGCTTTTTGTACTGTGTACAAAACTTCAGCCCCACTCCACTTTTGTACTGCAATTGATCTCAGATTACTTTGCTTAGACCATTCAGTATAATGAAGACGTATTTCAAGGTGATCATTGTAAGAAAAGTGAAGAACGCTGGTTAGATTTTACGCTCAACTTGGCAACATACTTTCATTCTTAACAATGAAATGAGACTGTCTACAATTTTTTTGAACTGTTAAAGACCTTGAATAATAGAAATCGCTACCTGTGATCTAAAGCGTTGAATGTGGAGACACTGAAGAAGTAGAGCATTTTATTTATTTAAGCTTATTGGTTTTTAACCACAACACGTCAAAGTTCGGTTCATACAGTTCCAACTAAAGTGTCTCCAGATTACCACTAGTCACATTTTGGTTTCCGTCTTAGCAGCTGACATGAAATCTAAGATTCGTCTGTTTGGGTATTTGCCTTTGTAACAACGTCCAGATTTACTGATAGTGGGACAAATAGTTTCCTATTTTGTTTTCTTCAGTTGTTGTTAGCATCTAGATTGGTGGGAATATTTTTAGTTACTGTTAGCTATGCCCACACACCATTTGGTCGTATACCGACAGAAGGCTACTGTGAATTACCATTCTGATAGTTAACACCTAAACGTCCAGAAGTGACCTGTGCTACATTTCTTAAACCATAAAAAACCAACCAGTCATGTGTTCACCTTATTCCACATACTGTGCAATTCAGTAATATTTTCATTTTCGATTTTTAATAGAAATATATCCTAGCATTATCTACATACAAAAATGTTCTAAGTGAATAGATGTGTACACTGCGTCCAAGAGTAGTATTAATTGAAAAATCTGAAGATTTATCTATACCCTTATTTGCTACCGTGAAACATTAGTAACAGTGAAAACTTTTGTGTTATGCAAGCTCTCTTAGAGGTGTAACTAGCAAGATTGATCTATTTTTGGAAAATCTCAGAGTAACTCGAGCAAATCTTAGTTACGAAGTTAAGTATGAGTATAGCTTGTAATTAGGCGTCTTAGAAACTTGTTAGTTTATGTTTGTTCGATGATGATTTCCGCAGTTTTCTGTACGATTTATTCAGTACTTATATAATCTCTTGAGCACAATTATGTTTTCGTAAGTGCATCGGCGGTTCAATGATAGAATGCTCTCCAACCAAGTAAATGGTCGGGGTTCGACCCCCTACCATTGCACTCCTAAACCTCACTAAACCATTAATAGGACTGGTAAAGAGTGAGGGTTGAAAGTAAGGCTAGCAACTCCGCCTCGTAAAAATGAAACCACTACTACCGAAACTTCAAACCTCTAGCTTGAAGCCGTATGTTCCACTGGGAACGTAAAGGAATAAAGTAAAAAGTAAAAGTCCTCCTAAGATTTATTTGGGAATGATTCAGATTAATGCTTTCCAATAAAATCATCTCAAGACCTATCTCAACATCTTAAATATCCCTTACGGACTGTATTATAAGTTTCCCACATTAGCCATCCTTTGTTCTGATGGGGAATTGTTGGAAAAATACGAATCATTTCACGTCGTAATGCTATGAAATAAATGTCCCTTGGTTTGGATTATCACTTGATTGTGCATAAAGACTCCTGTCGCACTTCAAGATAATCCGTCATCAGGTACTTGAAAGATTACAATTATAGAGAAATACTTGGAAGTTGTTGCGAATGCTTCACGTCTACTTTTTCTTATAACCCCGTAATATGATTTTTTCCAGTTGCTCTTTTCTTGGTACCTTTTTTGCACCTAGCTCTCTTTAATCAGCACGTTGATTAGTTATGACATCAGTTATAAGATCAGCATAAATAAATGTCTATGTGAGAAGTATCGTGTCGAATGTAACTTACATTCCCCATCATGCTATTACTACCAACCACACAATACCTAAATTTACTTAGTGTATTTGTTTAGAACTATACTCTTTGACCTCAGTTCACATTTTTGAAATATTTTGTAACATTTTCAGTCGGCTGGCAACCGTCAAAAACGTTCTCGTGGAATTTTCTATCTTTGCTGTCCATTCCCTTCATCCACTTCAAAGTCAGCTGGAAAACAAATAAATACTACACCACACACTGTGGGTAACATGTCATCAACGGTAAATTTACCACTCTAATCTGAGCAAAATGCTGCTAATATACTGCGTGTGAATTGCGTTCAGTTAACAATAATTCCTTCTTTACATATTACTGTAATTTGGCAATTAAGATTATCAATTTTTTTCAAAACTAACTATAATGATGACAAAGAACAGCAAATCACTATCTTGTTCTGTTCGTATTTGCCTAGAAGAAGCAAGATTTGATCATCTTCAGTGGTCTTCCATCATGCTTTGTATACACGAAAATTATTCTTGCCTCGTATAATGTTTGATAATCTGAAAAAATAATAACGTCGCTTGAATCCTAACGTTAGAAGAGTATACTTGTTTTACAACACGTGCAGCGGCAAATAATTCCCCAAGTTATTAGTTTACATCATTCTTCATTCAACATTGGATACTGACCTTCACTGTTTAAGTTGACTTCTTAATCCGAAGGCACGTGGTCAAGCATCTGCGGAAACTGGCAAAATGTTGCATTACTTTCGGTCACTTGCGTATGAACCCTAGATAATTAAGTAGTCGTTATCTGTTCAAGTTTCTCATCCCGAAATATATCTCTTATTTTGAACGATCGATTTATCGTTTTCATTTGTCTTTAGTCTTAGTGGAACAAGTACTTTGGGAGTTACAGGGTAAACATTTACACTTGCATACAGAGTAACTTGCGTAACCTTCATTTCATTATCCTTCATCTCCTAAACATGCAATAAACACTGATCATATTATTTCCGGCTACTCGCTTATGTTTGAATAATAGCTTAGAAAATTTAGCTGATACAGATTATAATATACATTCAAGAAGATTGAGAAGGTATTAACTCTCACTTTTAAACCAGAGAATCCATCGTTAATTTCCCTGTAAATTCGTCTTTTGATGAGTTGAACTGTTTTCAAAGTTTTCAGATGACATTCAGACTGATTCAACATGCTTTCATCTTTTTTCTGCCTTGCTGTTTATTTGGTAGTTCTTGTTTCCAAAATTTATTTAAGAAATTCTAACAAGTCAAACTAATGCGCACACTACTCTATGAAGAGTTAATTAACAAATTTGTAGAACTAATAACGGAGCCTCTATGCAACCAGAGCTATAGTAGTCCATAAGGGCAAACTGGAACTTTATGTTCTGAAACGCTTTTATCCTACCTCTTTTTTACTAACGTGAGTTTTGTGCCTACTTTATTTCCGTGACCCGTTATACAATAAACCCCATTCAGTCTTTATTTGTTATAACCCTTTTCCTATCAGTTATTTTTCAAGTTACTATAGATCACTTAAGTAATTAGGCGTCAGCTCCCCTGATTACGTTAGATTGTTCACTATTTTTCTCACATTGTTATTTCCCATATACTTTGACCTATTTTATTTTCAAGAGTTTGTTCGTAGGGATTTGATCTGTTTCATATTTGATCACGGACTGATATCAGTTAGAGAACTACTGAAAATCAGATAGTATTGAACAGACATTTCCTCGTAGTTTGGGACTCATAGGCAGTACCCACCCATCGAACCCATGACCTTCCGGTAACAAGGCAACCTCGTAGATCATTCAGCCACTCGGATATGACTCAATAGCCCGTGGATTATAACTTCTACCAATTCATCATTTTGTCGTGACCACCAACCGGTGTCACCGATAAGTACTTATCCTTATTCTCGGCTGGAATGTCCCGGGTTCGAAACTCAGTGGCTCGGTACTACCGATGAGCCCCAAACTAGGACGAAACAACTGTCCAGTACTCCCCGATGGTTTTCAATGGTTCTATAAGTGATATCAATCCGTGATCAAACTTGAAACAAATCAAATCTCTACAAACAAACTCTTGAAAAATAATTTAATGCCCGCTAGTCACTGGCTACAGGACGAAGTTGACCGGGTTTATTTTATTATTAACTGATATAATAACTACTAACGTTTGATGTAAATTAACACTGTACATGTAAACCCCATGAGTAACTCTACAGATTCGAAACGAAGTTACGAAAAGAGATCTCTTTGCTGACTTACGTGTTTATAATAACGTCGTTAATCAGTGTGTAGAACTTATTTTTTCAAAAGCTATGTTTCAACAAGTTTACTTTTCGAAAACTTTATGTCAGTTGTTTAATAAATCCCAGAAATCTTAAAAATACTCTCATAATGGAAACTTCTGTTTACAATTCACGGATTTATCTTACTTCTACAAACAAATCTTCAAAGTTGCAGCCAAAATTATACGCGTGGTGTTTGTCATTACACCGACTGGTCGTAATGAAGGCTCAATAAATATTTCTAAATTGTTTAGTGTTTCTCAATACTTATCATGTGTGTATACCTCACAGAGTATGCCTAACACCAGTGATAGATAAGTAACCGTCCACGAGTGTTTGCGTTTTTTTTTTGTTTTTAAATTTCAACAGCCTTCTTGGTGGTATAAGTAGTATCAGTTGAATAGATTTTTCTATTTTACTTTCGGACGTTTTTAGTGCTTGCTTATGTGGCGCAGTTTTCTTTACCCTTTTTTAACAGCGTAAATCGGTTGATAGGTATGAAAGAATTGCAAATCTGTTAGAATTATTTTTAAAGGGGAAGTTACAACACAATTGTAAATTCACCAGTTTACCAGGTAAGAAATTAAATATTATCAAACTGACAAAAACTATCCTTAATGAAAGTGCACTCACTGGATTGTCTTACTTATTTGCTATTTCCTCCATAGGGATAAGCCTCACGAAATTATTTCCATCTCATTGGTTTCTTTTCAAGAGTTTGTTTGTAGAGATTTGATTTGTTTCAAGTTTGATCACGGACTGATATCACTTGGAGAACCACTGAAAACCATCGGGGAGTACTGGACAGTTGTTTCGTCCTAGTTTGGGGCTCATCGGTAGTACCAAGCCACTTGGTATTGAACACATGAAAACTGACCTGGTATCAGCTAGTGACTGGCTACAGGACGAAGTTGTCTGCAGGAAGTTCCAGTGAGAACTTATGACCAGTGGGGCCCATTTGATAGGGAGTGAGAACAAATGCTCACCGATGACATTGGCTGATGCCAGTCGCGCTAAAATCACGAACTGGTAGAAGTTATAATCCACGGGCTATTGAGTCATATCCGAGTGGCTGAATGATCTACGAGGTTGCCTTGTTACCGGAAGGTCATGGGTTCGATGGGTGGGTACTGCCTATGAGTCCCAAACTACGAGGAAATGTCTGTTCAATACTATCTGATTTTCAGTAGTTCTCTAACTGATATCAGTCCGTGATCAATCTTTAGTTTCTGTTTGGTCATAATGAAAACAAGATTTGCAAAGTTGGTGCTTCAAAACACCCCCTAAAAGTTGATCCTGCAGCACCCCTTTATTATGGATTCCAGATTTATTAATGAAGTCTATGAATTAAATAGACCTAGTGAGAATTAATTCACTATGGGATTCTACCTTAATTAATTTCAAGAACGCAGTACTGCCTCCTATGATCGGCTGCTTTCACCTAACATAAGAAGTAATGGATGGTTCACTTTAACCTTGGATGAAAACATCAGTTTTCAGTTTAGTCCACATTAAAACGAAAGTTAAATTAAAAATCTTACTTCCTGAATGTTTCACGCAAAACATGATCACAGTCACCTAGAATGATCAGTTGACAGAAAATCAAACTTGAATGAACAATATGATACTTCTCGAAGTTTGTTACCATTAAGCAGGGAAAAACCGCATTCGCTTATTTTGCACAAAAGTTAGACACATCTGTATACGCAATGTGATAATATGAGAACCTGGATTACTGAGGAAGTGTTTGTTAAAAGCAGCCATTGAATGGAATATGAGACATAAACAAAAATCAGAATTACTTCCCAACATATCGATAGAATACCCAATTTATCAAATCCCTGCAAACAAACGCTTGAAAATAAGTCTACTGCTCATCAGTAACTGAAATTCTTGGAGTCCTAATGAGAAGTCGTGACCAATGAGGCCCACCAATTTGAGTGTGGGGACAGATACTCACCGAAAACATTGGCTGGCGGCCAAAGTATATATCGCGAATTGGCAGAAGTCACAATCTCCAGGCCTTCGGGTTCCACTGAGACGGCTGAATGATCAGCGCGCTCGCGTCGCAACCTGAAGGTCGTAGGTCCGATTCTTGGTAGTGCAGTCATGGGTACCTGCTGCTGAAGAGCCCAAGACTAAGATTAGGCGGTTGTTCAATACTCCCTGGTCTTCACTGGTTCTCCAACTGATATCATTTTACAATCTAATTTGAAATCCATTAAATCTCTGCAAAACAGCATTTGAAAATTATTTATAACTAGTGAATTTAGCAGAAATGTAATTGTGGAAGCATTTAAGAGCTTGTTGCGTATCAAACTAAGGACGACCTCTTCGGTATACTTGTCAATTACCGATATTGTCTGGGGTTCGATCCCCGGTCGACTATACACTCCTGAACCTCGTCTAGTCGGTATTAAGCCCGGTAAAGGGGGACTCCACTTGTTAAGAAAAAAACATCACTGTTACTGAGACTTCAAAACTCAAGCTCGCAGCCCTACATTCCAGTCAGAACACAAATGAATAAAATAATGCAATTTACTGCACTGTTACATCACATTTACCTTAACTGAACACATCTCACACTTGACCAACCGATTTGCATAAATACTTAAGACTTGTAATGTAGGTTGGTTACTATATGAAGGATAATAAACTAACTGTCTAAGCTAGTTTGATTATATTAATAACAGCAGTTTGTCTTATTTTTTCTGTTTTTCACCCTTTGTTTTTTCATATTCTATAGAAAATTATTTTCTAATCGACGAAATAATTCAACTGCCAGAATTTAAGAAGGAAAATTGTACATATGAAGATCTTGTTGAAGTGGTTCATAATGATGCATTATTACGCTTCAGTGTTAGAGGATCCAAAGTTCGCTTGAAACCACCTGAATTAAATGTACGATAATAGTGAACAGTTGGTTTTATTGATTTGCAATGTTTATTTTAGAAGGATCCTGATGTTATTTTATCAAAGAAGTTAGCTTGGATTCTACGTCATGGAGCAGAAAATGTTGGATTAAAATATGAACCTGGTATGTTGCTGTCTTTTCTAATGAGATCGACCACTTTGATATCCCTATCTGGAGAATTCACTTATCTTTTCAAGTGTTGGTTTGCAGGGGTTTGACTGATCGTGAATTGACTTCAGTTAGTCAACCACTGAAAACCAGGGAATATTCGACACCTGGCTCGTCATAGTCTGGGACTCTTCAAATATATACGCCTGTGACCCCACTAGCGATCAAACCCATGGCCTTAAGGCTACAAGGCAAATTCGTTCTGCTGAAGATCCTCAAATAAGAACGAAGCAGCTATCCAGTACGCTTTGGATTTCTATGGTTTTCTAATTGAAGTCAATTCGTGATCAAAATTGAAATTATATAGTATCAATGTCGTTAATTCACACAATTTCTAGTGTTGCTAATTAAACGGTCATATGATTTACAGTTGAGGCTTCAATCACCAAATAGCGGCATAATTTTTATTGCTAGTTTTCAGTGAGTATTCTATTTATACACATAGAAAGATGATGAACAGATATGACACAAAACTTAGATTAACTGTGCATCAGTTTGGTTTGTTAACCAGAAAGTCAACAAGGAAAAGAGTCAAAAACATTCGTACCCATAAACTTACAAAGGAAAGCTGAAAAAACTCAGAAAAACAAAAATATGTTATCTGGTGGATGGTGACTAGCAGCTGCATTCAGGATGCACGTCTCAACCCATTTGATACTCGTCATCTGGATGTACTTGCAGTCTCCAGTGAGTGTGATGGTGTTACCAGTGAGACTAGAACTCAGCACCTATTATTTCAAACGCCAAAGCGTTATACACAAAACCACTTGGGTTTTAGCATTTGAAACGACGGGCACTCGGTTCGAATCCTAGTGGTAACGCCATCATTCAATGCTGATTGTAGTTTTATTCAGATGACGAGTCCCTCAATAGGAAAAACTGCTCATCCTCTGTTCCACTGTTAATCACTATCCTCCAAATAACACCAGTGTTAATCCCCAGACGTCGTCGAAGCGCCCCGTACTAGTAGCCGATTTGTCGACAGAAGCCGAACATTTTGGCTCATCCAGTCAACAGGAAAAAGAAAATTAACCTACACAAAGTAAAAACAAAAATATATTCTTTTAATTGTTCATATGGAAATAAATTGCAGATGCATCCGATTCACTTGAATCAATTTTTTCGTCATAGTTGTTAGTCTATAGCGTTCTGCTGTAGTTGTCCCACTATCCCAACATTATATTAATCTTTGTGATCTCAACTAAGGTGAAAAAAGCATACTTTTGCCATGACTATTGTTTCATTTAATCCTTAACTTCAGGTCAGTTATCTTACTGGTGCCGACAAGGGCTTGTAACACACATAGGTTGTTTGTCTGACCTTGGTATGAATATCATTTTCTCTGAGAAACGGAATAACGTTGCATCGGCAACAACCAACAATTTTCAGGCCCCTATAATTAAACAGTTTATCTTGCTATACAACAGACATGATACTTAATGTAAGCCAGCATGACATTCGTTTCAAGTCAAATAATACTGCCACTACGATAGCGATCTCTTCTGTATCCCAATAAAAAAGGTTTATGGGCAACGCCCAAATGAATAAAACTGGTAAACATCAAAACCGTCATTCATTGTGAAATCATCTAAGTTACTACAGGTGCATGTTGCATAAGACCATTCATTTTTCCATTGGTTATTCCTTATACTAACATAAATTTTGATAGAACACCCCAAATATCAGATACTAATCTCATCTCTTGGCTTGTGTTTTTGAAGGAATACTGTATTAACTCCTATCTCCTTTACACAGTGGCTCAGAAACTATGTGATTTCCGTTACTTGCACTGTAGACCACATCTGTGTATATATGTGTTTGTGTTTGGGGGTAGGAGGGTCTTCGTGTTATTGCCCACGTTCAAATGTAAAATGAACTGAAACACTTTAATGAGGTTTTTTTCATCGGGATTCTTTGTTACCTAAAAAAATTTCAGATTTCTCATTCTCTAGAGCTTTCTTGTTACTGGTTGGTTTTGTAGTGGTGATTTAATTTAATTTAATTTAATTACATAACAAAGATTCATCTAAACAGGCTGACTCAAAATACTGTTTAGTAGAAGTTCCCAGAATGGTGTTCATTGTTTTTTATTGCCTTGAATATTTCAAAGTCATATTTTTTGTTTAGTTATGAAAACAGAACACATGACTCATTTTCTGATGATAATCAACCAGGTTAATTCACATTACCATAGTCTTGACACCCATTGCAAAATTATTCAAGATGTAACCATCGATATATATGCAGCAGAGGTTTATCCGTACTTGTGAAAACACTGATTTCAACAGAATTAACAATATCGAGATATTCACAAGTAAAGCTGTAAATTTCAAATTATTATCACCATTATTAATACATATCTGGGCAATCCCTGATTGTTAAATCTACCGGTTTGTATTAGAAATAAATGAATTTTTAATTATTAGTTTGCAGACATTCAGCTGATTTCTGGTATATTGCAATATATTACATCAGAGAATCACTGATAACCAGGGAGCATTGAACAGCTATCTAGTCCTAGTTTGCTACCCTTTGGCAGTACGCACTCATGACTACACTTCCAAAAATTTAACTCGCAACCTTCAACTTAAAGGGGCCAGATCTTTAATCATTCAGCCATTGGGACAGGATCCAATAGCTCATGAATTTTAACTTCTGCCAAATAGTGACATATATTGGGACACCGCCAGCCAATATTATCAGTGGGTGTTTGTCCCCACGCCCGACTTGATGAACTCTACTAGTCACGACTACTTATTGGAACTCCAGGAACTCCATCCTGTAGTCAGTCACTAATGAGAACGGACTCATCTGGTAATTTAAAGCCTATTGGTTTGATCCACGGTAGAGACATATATGTGTACCGCCGAAGAGTCCCAAGCTACAATGAAACAGATGTTGAGATGCAGCTGAGTATGATAAACGCTATAATTAATAATGAATAAAGAACAGTTGGTTGTATCTCATCACTTACTGTCTTTTCTATATCTTGCCCTGACCATGTGTCTTTCTTTCCTTCTAGGTGGCTACCTTTACTTAGACAAAATACTTGAATTAAAACCATTTCAAGGTGTTAAAGTTGAAGATATTTCACGTGTTGTCAATTCCAATGATAAAAAACGCTATGAACTTTCCGTACATCCTGAAAATCATCGCCTACGGATAAGAGCTTTTCAAGGTCACAGTGTTAACGTAAGTATACATCTTGTTGTTGTCGTTGCTGTTGCTTTTTGTTTCCTTCTTTCTACAGTTGTAAAAGTACTGGTCAAAAAGGGTAGTACTCACTTAGCAAAGTGTTCACTGCTTTGGCATAAAGAAAGGTAGACATGATAATTGACGCAGAAATTGATGATTGGTTCAGTTTTAAACTTCAAAGAAAACACCAAAAGGCACTGACTAGTTTACCACTAAAAGCCTTCATAATACTTTTCTATACTGCTGGTTCTTATATCAAAATAGTTAATATGTGTGCCAATACCAACTGGTTCTCACAGTTCAGACATTAGCAAAGAAAGGGATTTTATATCCAAGTGTTGAATTGCAGGAATTTGATTGGTTACAGGATTTCATCATGAGCTGACATCAGTTAGAGAACTACTGGAAAACCTGGGAGTACTCGACAGCTCTTTCGTCCTAGTTTGGGGCTCTCCAGCAGTATGCACCCACTAAGGTCAGCTCATGGTGAAAAAGGGTTTTAGCTCAATAATTCTCCGAAAATGGTATATTGTATGTTACCATCTTTAAGGTGTTAGCTGTGGCGAATTTGAGCACTATTCAGGCTCAATTGTTTTTGAGTTTTACGGAAAACAACTTGTTGAAAATGATAACGTGATATACGTATGATATGTTAGCTTGTGAAAATCTACAGGCAAATGCCAACATGTTGGCTAAAGAAACAACAAAGACAGGAATTCAAGTGAATATGGAGAAGATAGAGATAATGAGGATATATATACCAACAGCATCAACGACAAGCACCAATCACCATCACTTGTAGAAATCCAAATGGAGTTACCACTTCCATTTATCTAGGCATCAACTATAGAAGACACAGATACGGATGGTGGAGTCAGGAATGGAAAAGTGAGACGCACCTCTACTATTCTGCAATTAGTATAGGAATCCGTTGCATTTAGCAATAGGTATAAAACCTGAATTCTCAAAACCAATCTCAAGGCAGTGCTTCTATATGGCTCGGTGACATGTTGCACGCTTTACCAAAGGCCTTCCCCATAGGCCACACACCTTCATCAACAACTGGCTTCGCTCCATACCAAAGATCAGATGACCAGCCAGAAAGGCCAAGCAACAAAGGACTCTGACAACCAATCGCCCAAAAAATATGCCGAAGGAAATGGAAATGGATTAGACATGTGTTGAAGAGACTAATAAATGACATCACACACCAGTCCCTCTAGTGGAACCCAAATAGGAAACTACGGGCTAAACGTCAGAGGGTGACATGGAAGAGATCTTGTGAGGAGGAATTCAAAGCTTATGTGCAATCATCTAGCCAACTAAAAAGAGACTGCAAAAAACAGAGCAAAATGGAGGTGTTCTGCTAAAGCCCTATGTTATACCCGGAACCGAAGGGAATAATAATATTAAGCCTATAGCTATGCTACTGATAATAATTTGTAAGTAGTATACTGTCGATTTGTTCTCGAAGAATCCTGAATGGATTAAGTTAAGAAGTGGAGAAATGAAGATAATAGAAACAGAATAAAAATAACTTTCGCAAATTCAAGTTGCAATGTAGGATTTTTTTATATTTCCCACCATTCTATGTCATATTTCTCTAAACAAATCATTCTGCTGTCAATTACCACTGTATTCTGCCTTCACAAGCTTACTGAGGTGTGAATAATTGTTCTCGTAATTAATGATCTTCGGCTTTTTATACATACTAAGGACGATATGATTTGACCACTTTTCTAAAGTATAATAAATAGATCCAAAGTATAAACTCCAATGAATTGAAATAAATCAGGCGAAAAACTATATGAGAGATTATATGGCTTCATTTTCGAGCAAAACTCTAGTGTATCCGTAAACCATTTTACGATAAAGGTGCTTCTTAGTGACACAAAATACGATCATAGGCTCAAACCTCGAATAAATCACAAGTTCTGTTGATATAATAGATGGTATGATATGATCAGTAATAATGAAGTTGAAAGTAAAGCGTGAAGTAAGGAAGTAAAGTCGATTGATGAGGTTGTGAAGCTGCTTCAGTTGATATTGGTATGCCAAGCCATCATCTTCCCCATGGAGTAATTTTAGCTGACACAGAATTGTGTTGGAAAAGAGTTAGGGGTGGTCAAATCAAAATATGAGATCAATCCATGAAGCCTTTGACTGTTGATTTGAGTCACGTAAAGAGGAGTGAACTGCCTAGTTGGGGTCGTCGAGACATTATGAAGCAGACACTGGAGACTATTGGTGGTGTGACTCAAAGTCGTTCTCAATGGAGAAGATGCATTCATTCTTTATGAATTGCCCGATTCATTAAGTTCTCATTATTCTCCATATAATTATTGTTTGTCGAGTATATTTCCGTTTGTAGTTTCTTCACATTTTATATCTCTACCTTTATGACGACTTTAAATTAAAACTGCTGTACTTTTATACAAAGTTCTACATTGAGAATTCAGTTCATCTCTCCTAGTGTGATATTTGTCTTCTCTGATGAGTAAAAAAACCTGAATCTTAAGCTTTTTATCAACTGGTTACTAGAAACGCTCGATATCAAAACATTTCTATTTGTTGAAGCTTATCCATATACCAACGACACCATTTGAATTCACTTCAGTTCAGAAGGCTGATTTGATTTAACAGACCGATATTCTAAGTTGAAATGCACTGGCTATAGAATCAGCTGATTGCGGGTTATTAATTTATTGATCTAGAAGATTCAACCACTAACCACGTGTCAGTTTTAATTCTGTCACCGAGATCTCTGTAAGGCGGTCGTGTGATAAAGTGATAAATAAGTATCTATAAGACAAAAGGATTACCCAATGAAACATTTGCTTTTCATTTAGGCCCTCACCAATGAGTCTACTTCAATACATATAGCAATTTTACTTATACGTCATCAGTATAGTCGCTTCCAAAACAAGCCTTCTGATTAAAAACCTAAGCCTATTGAATTAGAAACACCTCGCAGATGATAGGTTGTTAATTGACCCAGTTGAACTAGCTTGAATTAACTGAATCAAGGGAGTCTTTCATGGTATCATCAGCATTTCAACTGATAGACGAACATCTAGATTACTTAGCTAATACAATTACTACCATATTATATTCATCATTCCCTTGGGTTGCGAATGGAACATAGGGTTACAACAGCATATTTCCACTTTGTCCTATTCTCCGCGGTCCTCTTTAACTGGTCTTATGATTGCCCATAGTCTCTCATCTCCTCCTCATACGATCTACTCCATATCACCCTCGGACTCATGTCCAACTCGTTGTTTCCTACTCGAGTTCCACTTGAGGGCCTGGCGCTCGATTTCATTTGACGGCCTCCTCAACGTTAGTCCTATCTATCTCTATTTTCTTCGGAATATTTGTTGAACGAAAGGTTCTTGGTTGGTTTTTTTGCAGAGTTTGTTGTTACCAATTCTTCCTGGCCATTTGATCTTCAATATAGAGAGAAAAGGCAGTTGTTGATAAAAGTCTGCAACCTGTTGGAAATGCTTTTCGTGACCCATACTGAAGAACTGACTGACTTAATAGTGGTGTCGAAAATCCGAATTTTGTTCTTTATGGTGGCTGAGTGCAGAAGATTCCAAACTAATTTCAGAATGATGAAGATCTGTCTTGCTGTTCCCATTCTGGTTTTGGACCTATGGATTTACTCCAATAAATATAGAAATTTTATTTATCAATCATCGCTACACTTACTTCTCAGACAAGCCTTCCTATCACAATTCTAACCACATATAATTAGAGAGATGTAATACATGACAGATTGTTAATTACAGTATTCGAGTTAACTGAATAAAAGCTGACTAATGGTTGAACACGTAGATTACTGAAATAAATACTTAGCAGACACAATTGTCAATAAACAATTAAAAACTGTTAAATACTAGTTAAAGTTCTTTCCGTTAGGCACACCTTCTTATTCAGTGATTAAATCGTGTGCAGTTCAGTTGATAAGTAGCTGAGTTTGTAATCTGCCATCTGGGTTTTCGAATTCTATAGTGACCAAGGTTGTTTTCCAACTTAAATCATTACTGCATTACATACTTATTATAGTAAGTATATCATTCCACGGAAAATCTACTTTTGTATAGTGATCTCATTGTTGTTACATTGAATAGTTGTTTGTTGAAATTGGGTCTTATAGACTGCATTTTTAAAAGATATCATTGAATGTTTTAATAAAATCAAGTCTATTTTTAGTATCAATAGTAAGGTGAACATTTTACTAAACTAATGAATGATGACCTTGACTATAGGAACTATACTTTAGTTTTACCTCGGCTAGTCATGAAATCAGTACAAGCTTTGTAAATATTTAGGTAAATTGGGCCCTATGAATTGAGCACATAAAGCCGTATGGTGTTATTATAGGATACATTATTTATCCAGAATGGAAATAGGAACGTGTATGGGGGGGAAAGGATGTTTATCGGTATAGGGTGTATTTTTGACATTCAAACCACTGATTCATTATTTGGCACCTTATTTCATCTATAGTAGTGATAGTATCTATTCCGTTGATTTAGAATACTAAAGACGGAGGATTATATCCGTCTGAAGATTGGAAATAGTACACAAACTCCAGTAGATTTTATTAATGTTGCACACACTAGATGATTGTCTACTTTTTAGTGTAGACTTCGTCATGAAGCAACAACAGTTATAGGTCAACAGGTAGCATTGCACAGTTGTCTCGTCGCAGTGAAGGGCTCTTCAATGGTACGTGCCCACGATTCCACCAGAAATCGAACCCGAGATCTCAGGTTACGAGACCAAGCTCTCTGACTATTCAGGAACTTGGACCGGAATTCAATGACCTGTGAATTCTAATTCCTGTCAATTCGTGAGATAGTGCTACCCTCACCTAACGCCTTCGATGAGGATCCATTTCACCTTGATATGATGGCCCTACCGGCTAAGACTTCTCAGTTTACATTTTCGCTTTATAATAAACAAAGTCTATTGTTATTTTTCATTTT